ACAATGTAAATTCAGAGCTAATAATTTAAAGAAAAACAGACCACTTTAAGGCTCCATTGTAATAGTTTATTTCACCAGAGACCTTTTAAAGTACTCTGTGTCCTCAGACATCACTCTTTTTCGTTTCACCTTTTGAGAGTGATGGCTGAGGATGTTAAGTATAAGCTTTCTCCTAGCTTGCATCCTCTCCAAAACCTTTTCTACTTCCTCCAGGCCGTCTTCTGTCATCCATTTGCTACGGCCTGTTGTTTTTATACAATAAGATTCACAACGGAAATAAATGATATAAATAAAAATGTTGGCTTTCCACACTGCTATAAAACAAAAGGTTAGAAAGGAAACTCCCAGCAATACGAGAAAGAGCGATAACTGTTAGTGGACTTGAGAATCGATTATATTGTAAACCTATTTTAAGAGAAAGATTATATGTATTTCAACTGACTGTACAACTAAATGCTAGGTTAATGATTGCTGAATGTTTATGTATGGAAACAATAACAATAGGCCTACGGCTACATCACGTTGAAACAAGTTAAGCAACGATAATCAATATCTAGATGGGTGACCGCTTGGGAATAGTCGGTGCTGTAAATATGTGGGTGGTGTAATTAAATTCGTGTCAGGTTCGTTATATTCCGTTACGTGCAAATACCCTTGGGAAAGGCATGAATCCAACTCTTTCCCACCTGCCCAAGGTTGATTTGTATCAATAAAATCTTTAGCTCTAAAATAATTCTTACAGTCTAAAAAAATATTTTTTCTGGCTTTAAAGAGCCTTCAAAATGTTGATAAACCGTAAAAAAAAAAAAAAACCAATCTTTCAAATTTGAGTTCCAATTCCAATCGGGTTCCTTATATTCCGTTACGCGCGAATATCTTATGAATCCACCTTTTTCCCCTCAGCTATGGGTCAATTAGTAAGACTTGCATCACTAAAACTATTATTATCTCAAAAAATAAAGAAAGCAAGAAATAAAGAAAATAAATTAAATTGAATACAAAATGTTTAGATTTTAGCATTAAATAATACATAAATGTTGAAGTGCCGCTAAATAAAAACTACTACTACTACTACTAATAATAATAATGGTTTGGTTTGTTTTGTTTTACGGCATACCAATCTCAATGGGTTATTTAATGACGTAAAGATTTTTATTGCCGGTAATATTTTTGTTTCAAATAGATAGATAGATAGATAGAGAGAGAGAGAGAGAGAGAGAGAGCGTGAGAAAGAAAGGTGGAGGAGAGGGAGAGAGATGGGGAGAGATGGGGAGAGAGAGAGGGTTTGATTTGGTTTGGTTTGTTTTGTTTTACGGCATACCAACCTCAATGGGTTATTTAATGCCGACAACATTTTTATTGCTGGTAATATTTTTTATCTTGTTCATATTCATTTATCTATCTATCGCATAATATCTGTTTACAATCTATCTATCTATCTATCTATCTATGCTATCTATCTAAAATATTCTATCTATTTATCTCATTCGAATCTATTATTCATCTATCTATCTATTCTATCTATCTCTGAATCTGTTCATATCATCATCTATCATCTATCTATCTATCTATCTATCGGAATATCTATCTGAATCTATCTATCTATCTATCTCTTCATGCATCTATCTATCTATCTATCTATCTATCTATATCTATCTGAATCTGTTTTTCCATCCTCATCTATCTATCTATCCATCTATCTATCGCGAATGTATCTATCTATCTATATCTGAATCTGTTCATATCTATTCTATCTTTATCTATCTAAAAAGATATCTATCTATCTATCTATCTGAAATAGATAAAATGTTCTATCTATTCATCTATCTAAATCTATCTATTATCTATCTATTATCTATCTATCTGGAATATATCTCCAGTTATATATCTAGAAAGTATCTACATAATATCTATCTATCTATTTCTATCTATTCATAGAAAAAAGTTCTATGTGTCGCATCCATCTATCTATCTCAATCATTCTATCAATTATCTAAAAATGGAAATGGAAATTAAGGTTTATTTATCTATTTATTTTATTATGTTATATATGTCTATTATTTTTTAAATTGTTAATCATCTGAACTGTTTTACAAGAATATCAATAAATTATTTAATAAATATATAAATTTATTCATTTTATTGCTACTTATTTATATATTTGACTTCAAAAAATCTATTCTGGGAATTCATTCACATTTTTCTCTTTTAAAGTTTTCTGATATTAATTTATACTATTTATTTTTTTGAATTAAAAATCTTTAATTTTAATTTTTGAATCGAATATTTTTTTTTAAAAATAAATGGAATTATTAATATATATGCTTAAATATTATTTTTGAATTTTACCAGTCCAACATGATATTGTTCAAATAATTTTTCTTTCTAAGGACCTTAAAATAGAGTGTTTTCAAATTTTCTAAATTTCGAGATCTGAATTTTTGAAAATCAAAAAAAAGAAATACATCATTAGGAAGTCAATTTTGATTATTGTTAATTAATAGAAACGAAAAGTTTCAGATTATAATTCAATTTTTTTAAATTAGTTTAAAAAATCATAAGTTTTTATCTACAAATCAAAACTGGGAACGCCAACATTTTTTAACTGGCTGCAACAAATTCCTGAAAATAATTTAATCAGTAATTTCATCAAATTGTAGGATTTATTTTATTGGAACGACATTTATATTTTTTTATTCGTCATATTTTTTTTCAAAAATTCACGGATTTTACGGAAAATTCCAGGTACTACCACCCAGGTCATACGGGGAACGCCAGCATAAGAGAAAATATTTCAAGAAAAAACCTCCTGATCAGAGGCCTTGGAAAAAGGTAGTTTATCGTCATTCATTGGGTAGAGAAAATATGTAAAAGCATGAAATGAATTTAGAAATCCTCAAAATAAGCAACGGATGAAATCATGATAGATTAAGAGAATTCTTTTTAAAGACCCAGATGGTAATAAAGAGAGAGATTGGAAAGAAAAAAAAGAGATTTTATTTAAAATACGAAAAAAATAAAGAGAGAAATTAAGGAAGGTGAGAATAAAGCAATTTTGAGAACGTTGTCGTTCAGAGTTTCCTCAGAAAGAAAGAAGAGAATGTCAGGAGAACGTTGTCCGTTCAAGTAATTTCCTCATTCCATTTTTGCCTGGTTGGATGAGGAGTGAAACCGATTAAATAAAATAAAAAAAAAAATGTCGGGGAGGCAAAATCTGAAGAGTTAATTGGAAAATGAAATTGAACATGTTAAATTTGCATGGTGTCAATAAATATGCAACTGAAGGGTAAATTTTCATTTTAACACCCGAGCGATAATATCCCTTCAAATTTTTACAAAATAGTTTTATTTCCGTGCAAATTATATATGCTGAACTCAAATCAACAATTAGATATTGAAGAAACCTACCTTTCTGGATGTTAAATCTGAAAAAAAAAAAATTCTTTTTGTGGTCTTTCGTCAGCCATTACCGGCTTATTGATAAGTAATTCAGTGCTGAATTTTGTTGGTGGACGTAAAAGTTGGGCCTATTTACTTCCTTCATAGTAATTCCTTGTAGTTAACTTTCAAATTAGGGTTAGGTGTTTTTTTTTTTTTTTTTTTTTCTGCTTTTTTTTTTTTTAAGAAGAAAGTTACTTTTCAAATTCAGGAGGTTAGGTGTTTTTTTTCATTTTGTTATTCTTTTTTATTTGTCGATGTTTTCATATATTTGAAAGTTAACTTTCTTCTTAAATTAAGTACAGAAAAAATATTTTTGACGGAAGCGCGTACTAATTTCTGAAAGAAAATAGTTCAGCAGTGAATGACGCTCGGGTGTTAAAATGAAAAATTACCACTGAAAGACGGGGAAAAGGGCGACGAACATGTAGACTTGGATTGAAAACAGAAAAAAAAAATTATCCAGCATAGATGTGACTGTTGTTCCCGTCATTACTGAAACACTCGGATCGGATCTCGCAGAGCCGCCCCAAAAATGGCGCAAATAATGACTGCCTAAATATCAACAATCATTAAAAACAGTCACAAAGATTAAAGAGACTACTGGTTTAGTGTTGAAACTTAGTGTCACTTAGTTCTATCCTGAAGTTGTTAAAAATATGAAAACACAAGACAATGAAAAAATAATCCAATCTCGGATAAAAAGAACAGATTTAGTAAGTTAAGAGAAAGAAAAGAAAAATGTCAGATACTAGATACTTGCTATTCAGCGGGGCGAAGCATGGAATACGTCAATTGCATCCCATACAGATGAGTATTCTCCAGTCAAAATGAAGATCAGCGAAGTTAGTGCTTACAGACTTACAGTAATATAAATAACCAATATGGACACCCCCGAGGCGGTGTAATGGTTAGCAAGATTATCTCGCTAGAACAATTACGCCTGAGTAATGAGATCGATCCTCACTGGGTGCCCCATACTTTCGGCCTTGTGTCACATCTAAGCTACACTTGGAAAATCACGGGACACCTCGAGGCGGTGTAATGTTTATCCATCTTTGTTCGCTAGAACAATTACAACTGAGTAGTGAGTTCGATCCTCACTGGGTGCCCCATACTTTCGTCCTTGTGCCACATCTAACCTACGCTTGGAAAATCGCTAGGGAATCCCGTCATGGTTTAGTGGTTAGCCATCTTTGTTCGCTAGAACAATTACGACTCAGTAGTGAGTTCGATCTTCACTTTCGGCCTTGTGCCACATCTAAGCTACGCTTGGAAAAAAACAGGACACCTCGAGGCGGTGTAATGGTTAGCAAGTTTATCTCGCTAGAACAATTACGACTGAGTAGTGAGTTCGATCTTCACTGGGTGCCCCATACTTTCGGCCTTGTGTCACATCTAAGCTACGCTTGGAAAATCACAGGACACCTCGAGGCGGTGTAATGGTTAGCAAGATTGTCTCGCTAGAACAATTACGACTGAGTGGTGACTTTGATCCTCACTGGGTGTCCCATACTTTCGGCCTTGTGTCACATCTTATCTACGCTTGCAAAATCACTATAAATAACCAATATTTATCAATCTCCGAATTCATCCTATGAATGACGATAAACTATATCCAGCAGCAAGGAGACTGGAAGTTTTGAGGAGCATGGGACCACCTCTTAACTGGTGTTGCCTACAGGTCCCTTCTGACGCGGGGTGGTAGCACTTGTTAGGGACACAGTTATGGGCAAATAGTGAACCTCCCACCCAAACTAAAATTAGCAGTACATTTTTTATAATAAAATGAGCAACAATAGATTTTTTATAGCAAAATGACAATGCAACACTAAAAAAATATATAAAAATTCATTTTTATAGTAAAATTACAAACAATACATTTTATGATCTACAAACTATATAAAAAATAATCAAGCATAACTTTACACTGAAATTTTAAATTTATGTAAAATATATCTGTAGTTGAAAGCGTAAATTGTGTTCAAAACATATAGATTTCGGCATTAAATAACCCATAGAGGTAAACAAAATCAACCAACCAATAATCCCTATCTATGGTATATATTTAGTTGAAGCCATAAAATTGTGTTCAAAATATTTAGATTTCGACATTAAATAATCCATAGGGGTGTTGATATACCGCTCCACAAAATCAACCAACCAACAATACATATTTATTGTAAAATGACCAACAATACATTTTATCTGTAGTTGAAGGCATACAATTACATTCAAAATATATTTAGTTGAAGCCATAAAATTTGTTTGTAAATATTTAGATTTCGAGATTAAATAACCCATAGAGGTGTTGATATGCCGCTAAACAAAATCAATCAACCAACAATACATATTTATTGTAAAATGACCAACAATACATTTTATCTGTAGTTGAAGGCATACAATTGCATTCAAAATATATTTAGTTGTAGCCATAAAATTTTTGTTCGAAATATTTAGATTTCGGCATTAAATAACCCATAAATGTGTTGATATGCCGCTAAACAAAATCAACCAACCAACAATACATATTTATAGTAAAATGACCAACAATAGATTTTATTTGTATTTGAAAGCATACAATTGCATTCAAAATATATTTAGTTGAAGCCATAAAATTGTGTTCAAAATATTTAGATTTCGGCATTAAATAACCCATAGAGGTGTTGATATGCCGCTAAACAAAATGAACCAAAATCTATCCCCAAACAAAGTAAATGCTTAAAAACTCAAATAAAACGACTAATATCGACCAATTCCACGAATCCATATAAATGCTCACAGACACAAATATAAGCGACATATAATTACTTTTTATCCAATAAAAAAATATCTGTCTATATTTCTGAGATGAGGTATTGTAACTATTTATACTATTTAAATTTTTAGGTCAATTGTTCCTATCTTTATTGTCATATTTACCTTCAACATTTGTCTCTACTTCTGAGATGAGGTATTGTAACTATTTACACTATTTACATTGTTCGGACTGTTGTCCTCATCTTTGTTGCCATATTCACGACGATGAGGACTACAGTTCGAGCAATGTAAATATTGTAAATAATATGAAAAAAAAATGATTAAGACATTAAATAACTAAATATTGATGAAAATATCGTAAAATCAATTAATCAACTGAATGAAACCCAACCCACCCTGAACACCAATAAAAATTGAAAGAAATTGAAAAAAGCCAGAAGATATTTGGAGAGTATACGAGGCGAAAAATAGTTGCGTACCCATGGTTATAGGAACACTTGGAACAGTCTTAAAGAATCATATAAATCCAACTGGAAATAAAATAAAACATTTTTTTTTGCATATTTAAATTTTGTTATTTGCAAATACGGCTTTTAATAATGACCTTTTCATTCGATTTGTTTTTTTTTATTTTTAAATAAAACGTTTGATTTCTTTCTTTGTTTTTTATACAGTAAGATTCACCCTTTACAAGGCCACGGGATCCCTCGAGTTAGAACGTTACGTTAGGAGACAATTTGTACGGATAACAGTGAATGATAACGGTTAACCCTAGCCTTGGACAGGTTAAGATTGTAGTGATCGGGGAAACATCCTCTTGGGAGTAGGTTCCACGGATCAGTGGTCCGAAGAAAAAAGTGGAACATACTTCCCACCAATGGAATACGGAGGAAATGTGGGTGGTTTGCTACTATGGAAGCGGCATGGCGTGTCTTTGCCTTGAAGGTTTGTCTTGGCGGGACCAGGGAATGTAGTTCTGTGGAAATAGTGATAGAGCAGCTAGAGGCTGCTTGCGAAAAGACAGGATGTATAGTAAAAGGCCGAAAAGAATATGAACCGAAAGGACTATTTATGTGAGAAAGAATGCGAACAAGAGACGGAGGTATTAAGAGTTTTGCTGGTACATGTTCAATGGCGAAATACACCAGCTTTTTACTGAATTTAAAAACCTATTGCAAAACAATATTGGTATTGCCAATTTGACATTACGAAATGAAAAATTAAATACATATATAAAAATATATATATATATATATATATATATATATATATATATATATATATATTAAAATTAAAATAATAAGAAAGAATGATAAGATCTGGTGTTCTTAGCAATTATGGATTTTAAGTTTAATTTTTATAATTAAATTTATAAATTTAGAAAAAGCTTTAAAACAGAAATTTTCTGTCTCGCGATGGAAAAGAAAAAAATTACAATATATATATATATATATATATATATATATATATATATATATATGATTTATTTATTTATTTTAGAATATTACACTGAAAACATAAATAAATTGCGTACACAATTAAAGTCGTGTTTCAACGCATATTAATGCGTTTCATCAGGCAATTGAACGATTTATTAAGTCTCATTGGACCTGTATATATATATATATATATATATATATATATATATATATATATATATATATATATAATAAAAAAGTAATGTCTATTTATAAAATGAATAAAGGCATATGATCGAAAAACTCATCTTAGCCGACTTGGAACTTTATCAAAGCAAATGCAAGGATTTTATTTTGTAACAAATATGTTATTTTTTCGAATTTTTAAAATTTAAGAAAGCTTACAAATATTCATCAGGTTAGCCAAAAAGTCAGACAAGTTAGTAAGTGATGTTATTGAAATTTTTTAAATACAAATTAGTATTTAAATTATTTTAATTTGGGATTAATTTATGTTATATATTTTAAATATCATGAGGCTATGAATTTAACTAAATTTTTTAACATTTTTATAGTTATGTTGACCTGTCGAAAGTGGTAATTCTTTCAAGAATGCAAATATTTGAAAAAGGCTGGGGCGCTGATTTGTATTTTGATAAGATTCAACAGCGGCCCTCACGAGAATGTTCCTATCTATCTATCTATCTATCTATCTATCTATCTATCATTCTATTCTATCTATCATTATGATTATCTAATTCTGTTTGGATCTATCATCTATCTATCTATCTATCTATTCATCTATCTATCTATCTATTTCATCTATCTAAACATCTATCTATCTAAATATTATCTACATTATCATTATCTATCTATCTATCTAATTATGTTTCTAATTCTGTTTTCATCTATCTATATATCTATCTATCTATCTGTTCAATTGTTCTAGATAATTCTATTTAGATCTGTATTAGATCTATCTAATTCTATTTTATCTATCTATCTATCTATCTATCATAAATAACAATAACATATGATACTGCTGGCGTTTCTCGTGGGCTTAATATTGGTTGATTTAAAAATCAGTAAAACTTATAAAAGATCTATCTAAAAGATAGACAGATAGATACACAGATAGATACACAGATAGATAGATAAACAAGTAGATAGAAAAAATTACATTTACAGGTTGTTGAATATGATTAACTCTCACTTACCCGCTATCCAAATGAAATACACAGCAGAGAAAACAGAAAGAATCACGCAGAATTTTTTCCAGATTTGAAGTCTTCTGTAATGGATCGTCATCATTTTAGATGCTTTCACAAAATGGATGTCAACCCCAGATAATTGTTCAGGATGAATAAAAAAAAAAGAAGTCAATGTGACGAGAGAGATGACAGTCGGGAAGATGCCGTCGTAATCGTCGATGAAAAATAGACGTGAGCTGAGGGCAAAGGATGGCTGATAAGTTCTATAAGTAATACAACTCGACTTTTTTGTTTTTGTTTTAAAAAAATTTCTCTGCCTCTTTTTGTGTTCTTTTTTTTTGGCGATTGTGTCTTTTAGGCCATTTTATAACTGCATAGATTGTAAAACTATTTTGGTATTCTTCCTTTCTTATTTTCTTTGTCACCCGCATCTGCAAAGCGCACCAGTGTTAAACGTTTTGGTCGTCTGTTTCATTTGTGTAGTTGGGATTTGTCAGAACATAATTTAAAAGACCACTGACCTGCTAGCTTGCTAGCCTGCGTTGATACTCATTCGTCAACAACAACCATAGATGTGTATATATAATAATAATAATCTCGAAAATGTGGCATATGGGAACATCAACAAATTGTTATAGTTCACTTATTAGGACTGATTGCAGTGCTTTTAATTGAAGGGATTCCTGGAAGTCCATTTCAAGGAGATACAAAAATATTGTTCTGACAAATACAGCCCACATAACTTTACAAAGGGCTTTATCTATGTATTTTTTTTTATTTTTGTCAGTTGGAAAAGTGTCATGACGCCATTTCTAACCTTAGGTCTCTGGGCGGGACCCGGAAAGAAAAATGTAAACGCCAGAAATCAAAGAAAATAAAAATAATAATAATAATATAATAATAATAATATTATAATAAATATATGTAATTATAATCGTCTGGAAAAATCTTAGGTGTTTTCGCTTGTAAATGAACAAACCAATACCCAAGGAAAAATAAGGAATAAAAAAGAAAGAACTAAGAACATGTAATTCGGGCGAAAATAATCGTCCAGAATCCAAGCTCAGAGTCCGAAGAAAAAAAAAAAAACTCCAACACGAGTAAAGCAACAGTAACTTAATAAAGTACTCAATACACTAAGTATAGCAAATCTAATTATGAACCTAAAGATCCCGGCAAACCTACCTATGTTTCACCTACGCGGATCGTCAGGGTACACTGACCAAAGAACTAAAATTACAACTGAATGTAAATAGATAAAGACAACCATGACCACGTGATTAAAAAAAAATAATAATACAAAAGAAACACAACAACCGGAGGCTTTAATACATATTTATTCAATTAAAAAGAAAGAAAGAAAGAAAATAAACTGCAAAATGAGAAAAAAACAAACAAACCTATACTAGTAACCTATGTCTACAATTACTCAAGATTTCAGATTTACCAAACTGTTGGGTTCTTTGTACAAAGCAATTGCTAATTTTTCCTCTATACAAAACAAAATTTATTACCTGCTTTATATTTGTGAATTTCTTGGTCAGTGTAAAAAAAATTGTTAGCATTGTGAAACCTAGGTAGGTTATCTTGATTTCTCTTTTAGGTTCATATAGTTTTATATATATATATATATATATATATATATATATATATATATATATAGATAAACATGACTTCGTTGTCAAGCTTTTGAATTTTCCTATACTTGTATTTTGATTGGTCAATCTAGCTTTTGTAACAACGTTTCCCCTTGCGAAGGATTGTTAATTAATTTGAAACTTTTAAAACCATTTATTTTACATTCAACATCATCATTTTTGATAAAAACACTGGGGGTGTTGAAACAAAATGGCTATTTTTGTAGTGATTTTATAACATATTTTAAATCAATTAATTTTTATAATATATATATATATATATATATATATATATATATATATATATATATATATATATATATATATATATATATATATATATATATATTTTAATACATATTTATTCAATAACAAGAAAAAAAAGAGAGAGAAGAAAATCGAATCTATTCTAGTAACCAGCGTTTCCTATGTCTACACTTACTCAAGATTTCAGATTTAAGATTTAGCAAATTGTTGGGTTCTTTGTACAAAGCGATGGCTAACTTTTCCTCTGTACATAGTGGACAGAATTTAAATATGACATAAACGGATTTTACCCATCGATTACGAAAAAAAAAAACCTTAAAGCCTTGCTATTAGCCATTTATATCAATTTCTAACGATAAAATAAATCTTATTAAATACTGCCGTAAATCATTGTTGTTTCACAATAACGAGTTATGGATCAAAAAATGCGATAAAGGCAATTTTGACAATCCCATGGGGGCATATGACGGTGCAGAAGTGTGCGAGTTGATCGGATGCCTTAATAATTTAAATAATCATATAGACCCTAACAACCATTGTCTGTACAGGGATTGATTACAGTAGAAAAAAGCAACCCTAGGAAATGTGATATAATCCGAAAAAACTCCGCTGGTTGTTTAAAAAATTCGGATTTAACCTTGATATAGAAATAAACCTAAAAGTTACCCATTACTTGGATATTATATTGGATTTACGTGATGGTACTATTTCACCGTATAGAAAGGGTAACCAGTACCCGCAGTACATCGATGTAGGTTTTAATTCCCCGGCACATATCTTGAAGGAGATACATAAAAGGTATTAATCATAGACTGTCCACGAATTCATCAAATAATAATATTTTTAAGAAAAATAAAATAATCTAAGAACAAGCTCTAGAGAATAGTGGACATAACAACAAATTAGAATATATTGATATAAACGATGACCCTAGAACACAAAACAAACACAAAACCAGAAGTAGAAAAATATTATGATTTATTTCGTGATTTATTCTTTTAAATGTGGTTGCGGTAGCAACTACATGGGAAGGATTTCCCAACGTTTAGATTGTAGGATCAGGCAGCATGTCCCATTGCGAGTTCTTAGTCCGGATGTCCGTAACAACCAGTTGGTTAATACTTCCGAGTCAGCGATTACTGAACATTTGATAAATTGCAGGGATTGCGCGAAGAATTTCAGTCCGAATTGGTTTACTGTACTGTCCAGTTCGCACTCTCCATTTCATTTGAGGGCACTTGAGTCTCTGTATATTCGGTCCAGGGAGCCGTCTCTTTGCAAGCAAAAAGACTGTCTCCTTGGGCTTCACGTTATTAGACTCTAGTGGGTATCATACATTCCCCTCACACTCCCCATTTTTTTTCCTTTGTGCTGTGCAAATTCGCGCGGTTTGATTTTTTTCCCTTCATACCATTAATCATTTCATTTTTTAATGTTTTAATTGTATGTAGGGTGTTTGTGTGAGTCAATATATATTGCAATAATTGTTAAATTGTTCCCAGTCGACCCTGATGAGCTTGGGAACGAAACCGGTTGGTCTGTTCTGTAAGTGTTATCATCTCTTATTTTTTTTTATTTTTCATAATGCCTTTAGGAAATAATTTGTATCTATTACTTGCAAAAATATTATGGTTTAACCCCCACATACAACGGTGAAAACTAACATAGGCAAAGTATTCTTTAGACTACTCAAACAGAATTTCCCACAAACTAATACGTTGTATAAAATCTTTGATAAAAAACTATATCAAATTAAGCTATAGTTGTATGCCCAATATGACTAGTTTCATTAATAGATACAATATGAGAAAAATTAAGGACAAACCACGTACACCCCCACCAAATGTAATTGTAGGAATAAGAAAGCCTGTCTCCTCCAGGGAAAGTGCCAGCAAGAGTGCGTGGTATACCAAGTAAAAATATATAAGGATAAACGAAGTTATACTGATAAAAATCCCAAGATATATATATATATATAGGATCTACCCAAAATAATTTTAAAGCCCGATACTATAACCATCTTAGTAGTTTTAATAACGAAAAATACAAGCATAACACCACGTTATCTACTTATGTATGGAAAATTAAGCAAGACGATAATAAAGACCCCATAATCACGATCCAATTCATCAGACCTACAAATTGAGTTCTTTTTGAATTTGTAGGTCTGATGAATTGGATCGTGATTACGATTCCAATGTAATAAATTATAACCATGGAACATTAGTATTTGAGCCTTTTATATTATATTCTTGTTCTATCCTGAGCATTGAGCTCTACCTGGATTCTATCCTCTTGGATATATATATATATATATATATATATATATATATATATATATATATATATATGTGTATGTATTGAACAATAAAAAAATATGTAAAAATTAAAATCTTCAGACACACTGGGTTTTATATTAATATTCTTTCGATTTTATTATTATTTCATTTAGATTCCTCGACTAGTTTTGGCCAAAATAGCTGATAAACAAAATCAAACATATCAATGACTTGACGTGCCTTTAATCGATTTGGCCACAGAGGAGCGTTTAGTTAGCAAGTTCAAATACAGTAAATTCGACCTTGCTAACCGAACACTCCTCTGTATAGGATATAGGTTCGAATTCTGTCGGAGGACGAATATTTTCTGTGAAAATTTCTCGGTCATTCAGGTCGGTAAATGTTGTTTAATACTGTTTATTATAAACATAGCATTTACTTAAATATTTGTATCTATAAAAAGAATGTATAAACATAAAAATGTCTTAATATATTACATATTTTAATATTATTTTGCTTTTTACTAATAACTAGCAGTAGAGCCCGGTGTTGCCCGGGGATATAACAGTAAGAGATAGATCAAGTATCGACCATCATAAAGACTGAAAAATAAAATTGACAAAGATTATTGTTTAAGGTTGACGGACACGCATGTCTTAATTAGTTTTTTTTTTCTTTTGTTTTTTTTACGAATTGGTCAAACCCAAACTCAAACAAAAACATTGTTTTCAATCGTTATGAGTCTATCGATTGAATAGAATTTTATTATAAACAATTGTCTTGTAAATGGAATTTTTAAAGCATTCTGAATGTAAAAATAAAGAAAAAAAAGTGTGCAAGACAATAAGAAACACTACCTGCCAAAAAAAAGTGAAGTTTTTATTTGAAATCGGTTGAAAAAAATGTAAAAAATCCGATCCCATATATAAACGAACACACACACACACAAACAACCTGGGTTTTTATAAGTATAACTCGATATGAGTTGTCCCCTTTCATTCAAAAGCGATGCTTTTTAATCGTGTTTTCAAATTGATTTCATTGCAAAAACAATTGTGTTTTTCCAATTTTTGGCGCTGTCAGAACCACCGCAAGGTAATTTTACGTAGTCCTGTGAAGTTTTGTTGAAATCGGTTGAAAAAAAAAGGAAATCCGATCCAATATATAAACGTACACACACACACACACACACACACACACACACACACAACACACACAATCTGCGTTTTATAATAAGTAAGATTTTATAAATTTTGATCATATGGTTGATTTTGTTCATCAGTATATCAAACTCTATGGGTTATTTAATTCTGAAATCTAAATATTTTGAACGCAATAGAAAGTGTGGATAACATTTTTATTGATAAGTAAAAAACTTTTTTATTCTCTTTTTCTGTCCTTACTTCTTAATGAAGTTATTTATCTGTCTCCCCACTAAGACGAAAGTGAGAACATGAGCCCATATCAAATCCTTTGTCTTTTAAAAAATTGCCCAGCAGTAAAAGAACAACCGTCGGTCCTAAATGATGGCCTCGGCGCGAGCACCGATACCTCTCTCTGGTGCAATGAGAAGGCGCGACCTCGGGCAGCTGGGTACCGCTCAGTATAATTTTTCTCAGCTGCAACTCTGTCCTTTGATGGTGTCACCCCTAAATGCACTCTTTCCAAGGACAGAGACGCAACTGAGAGATGATAAATAATGTGTTACAAAGCACTCGAGAGAGTGATCTACACCTTACTCCCTCTTACTAACTCCGATCCGTAAACCTTTTCTTCGTTAGCAGATAGTCGGAGGGACAGGTTGGGGAGATAGATTTTTTTAATCCCCAGCGTACAGGTATGTCTACATATTTATGCTGGTGCATTTATGGGTCACAGCTCGACTCTTCAAATACGTTAACTCAAAGTTCATTCTTTGAAATAATTTAACTGGTAGTCAAGCCAGGCTTTTTATTTTTTATTTTTTTGTAATAAGAATAGATAGGCTTTCCTATCGCCCGGTCCATACTCTTCCCCTTTTCTTGAACCGGAGTAGAGGCTCATCCCTTGTTCCCTGTTTAGGAAGGCGTTCCCGGTTGCTTTCCTTTTCACAGGCCTTTAGACACTGATGTTTGTTGGGTAGTTTTATTCTGAAGGGTACATTTGGTGCTGATCATTACTTTTGGTATGTGTTATTGCCACTAATAATTATTGCCCGGTGTTGTAGGCATCGAACAATACCCTTCTTCACACTGTATGGATGGCGGGAATTGTAGTCGATGTATTGTCCAGTAAAGTTTGTCTTGTGACATGTTTTGAGCACATTCTGTGTGAGAGTTATTAGTACATTCAGGAAGGTTAGCCGATTATTATTTTCTTTTACCATTGTAAACTGGATCAAAGGTTTTATTGAATTCCCATGGTCCAGTACTATTTGTACAGCTTCCTAGTGCGGCCAGATTATGAAGGTGTCATCTACTTATCTCAGCAATTCTGTTGGCTGTAGTTCTGCCGTTCACTGGTGAAAACGGTGAGCCCATAGCCAAACCTTACCGTTAGTATATGCCAGACTCTTATTGGAAAAATGTCTGTATACAGAACATCAACATTTTCATCAGATTATTTATAAGAATAAGAGGGGTCTGGTTCTAATCGGTATTGAACAACTGGTAAATCGGTTTACTATGTCTAAGCTTACCATCTATTGTTATTGATTGGTACCCCTTGGATCAATTTCTCAAAGTGCTCTGAAGTTGTAATATAGGGTGAAGACATTCCTGTTAATGGACTGACTATATCCACTAGGAATGTGCTCAGCAGGTGGCATGCTGAATCCCCGCAATTGAGTATAGGTCTCAATGAATTGTAACCTAGAAAGTGTTACTGAATGAGGAATAATAAAAACGGGGATTGGAAATGAAATGGTAATCTTTATAACATCAACAAAATACAATACTCGCCAGCGGCGTGAAGTAGGTAAACCACTGCTAGTGGTGGACTACTTAGTATATTAACTCCCTCCACTTACAATAGGTTCCAACGTATTTATGAGGATTGGGGCATACCCTTTAGTATTCATAGGTACGGTATATAACACTATCTATCTATCTATCTATCTATCTATCTATCTATCTATCTATCTATTTTAAGTATGTTCATATCCATCTGTTGTGTCATATAAAGGGTGACTGAAGGAGGAATAACCAAAACGGAGGTTGGAAATGAAATGGTAATCAAACAAAATACAATACTCGCCAGCGGCGTGAAGTAGGTAAACCACCAGTAGTGGACTATTTAGACAGCATATTACCCCCACTTACAGTAGTGTCCAACGGTATATAACGCAATGGAATACCATATATCTGCGACAGCTTGGTGTAACGTTGACGGCTGTCTCAACTTATTCAATGCAAAGTAGTCCTTTGAGATCTGTGACATTTTATACGGGGTCTATGGGGAATTTTTGGCCGAGCCTACCGGCACATTAAACTCGGCTTTGTGCTACATCCTACCTCGTAGGAGGGCGGGGTGGTAAATATCGACTAGCTCGGATCTGTTACTCAGCTCTTAGCTGTTGTCCAACTCTCTGCCTTCGGACAGAGAGGAACCCGGACGAGGTTATGCCGAAGGACAGAGTCTCGTTCGGGGAGCAGACTTCCTTGAACCTGTTTATTCAGGTTTCTTGTGGGTGTTTTTGGCCGAGCCTACGGGCTCGGATTGTTAATCTTTAAATGCGGCCTTGTTTCACATCCTACCTCGAGGGGATATGGTAAAATATTTCTAGCTGGGATCTGTTGAGTATGACTCAGTTTTACGCGAGAACTACTGACCTTCAATAGTAGCACTCACTACTGGATTGACTTAAAACAACCTTTACTTTTAACTGTTACCTTTATTCTTATTGTACTGTTTTTTTTTTACAATAAACATTTACTTATTTATTCCACCTTGTTTTTCAAGATTATAATCCTGTTAGCACGGAATATAACTGTTTGTGGCGAAGTAGAGACCCTTGTTTATCATTGATTCCTCAGAGGCAATTAACTGTCGACTGCTGCCATGAGCAACTGCTCTTAATTTACAGTTGTCTCTTTTACTTTTTACCGTTACCTTTTTACTTTTTAACGTTACCTTTTTACTTTTTACGGCTACCTTTTTACTTTTTACCGTTACCATTTTACTTTTTACCGTTACCTTTTACGTTTTACCGTTACCTTTGTACTTTTTAGCTATTTTTTTTACTTTTAAAGTTACCTTTTCTTTTACAAAATAAAAATTTTTATTTTTACTGTTCCCATTTTACTTTTTACCGTTAACCTTTTTACTTTTTACCGTTACCATTTTACTTTTTACCGCTACCTTTTTACTTTCTACCGTTACTTTTTACTTTTTACCGTTATATTTTTTACCATTTTGCCGCTTTTTTTACTTATATTATTTATTTTTTTGCTTTTACCGTTACATTTTTAATAAATTTTTTTACTTTTTACCGTTACCTTTTTACTTTTTACAGTTTCCTTTTTTATTTTACCGTTTCCTTTTTACTTTTTACCGTTCATGGTGCCCTGTGAAAAGCGGCGAATTTATTATCACTGTTTTATCTTTCAGGAATAATTGGGCTTGAATAACTTTGAATATATCTTGAATATTCATGACCTTGACTCATCATTCGACACTCGCGTAATTATTTAACTCTGATTGGTTCTTTTATGATTGATTAGTTTCTGCTTGACCTTGTGACTCGTCATTTAAAGGTTATTTGCATACAACTTTCGTCTTTAGTTCTGCTCTTCTTGCATGGTCAAACAATTCACTGATTTTGAGTGTACAGTTATTGTACTTTTCAAAGAACATCCGACTTGGTGATTGAAGAAATGTGCAGAAATTCATCCGGAATTTTTCAGTCAGATCAGTCGTCACAAGTTTTCAATGGTTATCACGCATCTTTCTGAATTGACCGCATTTTTACTGGGCACTCTGTAGTTTACGCATGTGGCGAGATTTTGATCCTTTGAAATTCTTGACCGTATGACTTATCCAAGTCTTTTTGGATGCTGTATTTGTCTAGGTCTTCCCTTATTTTGCTTAGTAATGATTATTATTCTGGTCTGTTATCAAATTTCATGTTTCAAAGATCGTGGAGAATCCTTTCCCTCACGAGGATGTGTCCTCTTTCAACTACCCTTTGTATTCTCCTAGAACAAACCGATGTCTTTATTGATAATCTCGGCAACAGAATAGGAATATCAGGTGCCAATTCAGAAACAGAGAAAAGTAATAAGAGATAAGAAATGTCTTATCAAACAAAGAACGGGGTACTGAGCGAATAAGGGATATCTATTATCCGATATGGTAATGAATGTTGAACAAGATTCTCGCAGATGAAGAAGAGACATGAAGCGGCAGAAAAGTGGGCCTTGTGACGAAGGCAGCGAATACTATGGGCAGGACATGTGAGCAATGAGGAAGTTTTAAGGAGCATAGGAACAACAAGGAAACTTATACTTATAATCAGAAAGAGAAACCTAGAATAGTTCGAATGCATAATAAGGAAAGATGTCCTAGAATTTTCACACGCACAGGGCAAAATGGAGACAACACGAACAGGGGTAAACTGCGAGTAATCTACCTAGAGAGCTTCAGTAAATTGATAGCATAACAAAAACAAGGAGGAATGGTAAAGAGTAAAAGAGCTAATAGTAAAGAGTGCAAAAAGTAACGGTAAAGCGTAGTAAAAGGAATGGCAAAAAGTAAAAGAGGTAACGGTAAAGAGTGCAAAAAGTAACGGTTTAAAAAATAGTATAAAAGGAATGGCAAATTATGCCAAAAGAGGTAACGGTAATTAGTAGAAGTGCTTTAACGGTAATTTTTGTAATAAGGAATGGCAAAAAAGTAAAAAGAGGTAATGGATAAAAGTGCAAAAAAGTAACGGTTTCTGTAGTATAAAGGAATGGCAAAAAGTAAAAGAGGTAACGGCTGTTTGATCAAGCTAAAAATTTAAGTTTAAATTCGTACTAAAAGGAATAAAATCCAAAAAAGGGATAACGGAGTGCAAAAAGAACAGAAAAAAGTGCAAAAACGAACGGTAAAGAGTACAAAAACGAACAGTAAGAAGAGTTAAAAAAGAATTTGAAAAAGACAGAAAAAAGGATAACTTTCCCTTGTAAAAAAGGAACGGTTAAGATTTAGTAACGGTAAAGAGTGCAAAAACGAACGGTAAAGAATATAATAAGCAACGGTAAAAAGTAAAAGGGGTAACGTAAAGAGTACACAGAGCAACGGTAAAGAGTAAAAGAGGGAATGGTAAAGAGTGCATAAACAGTAAAAAACAATAAAAAAAAAAAAGATGGATTTTTCCTGAGATTACGAAAAGGAACGGTAAAGAGTAAAAGTGGTAACGGTAAAGAGTGCAAAAAGAACAGAAAAGAGTGCAAAAACGAACGGCAAAGAGTGCAAAACAAACGGTAAAGAGTACAAAAACGAACGGAACACTTAAACTAAAAAAAAATTTGGATTCCTGTTTAAAAAAAAAAGACAACTGTAAAGTAAAAATAAGAAACGGTAAAGATTAAAAGAGATAAAGGTAAAGAGTTCAAATAGGAACGGTAATGAGTAAAAAAACGAACGGTAAAAACTAAAAAGGTGACGGTGAAAAGTAAACGAAGCAACGGTAAAGTGTACAAAAACGAACGGTAAAGAGTAAAAGAGGTAACGATAAAGAGTACAACAGACAGGGATACCGTGAAGAGCCATTGTACTCATAAGAAGATATTTTTATTCTGGGGCTCTCAGGGTTGGAATGTGTTAAGTCATGACTCTCGTGTATAGCCATACGTGGATGATACGGTGTTGATGATAGACTCAAAAGCAAATATAATAATAATAAGAAAGACAATCAGATTCCTTTGTCTGCATCTCTTCTTTAGCATGGTCTCTTGGGAAAGATAATGGAGTGGTAACCGTTTGTAATTATCCACATTTCAAATTTCTTTATTATCTATGAATTACTATTTCTTTTGGGAAAGATAGCGGAGACAATGATATGAATATATTGGTAAATGCCGGCAATAGCACCAACTGAAAATCTGAATAACAAACGAAGCTTTTTAGGAAAATAAGAACAACCAGCAAACGTATACTTACAATCAGAACGGGACAGTGATATAATTCTTCTGTTGACTGCTGAGAATAACACAGACACAACGTTTCGGCCGTTGTACGCTCCGGTCTTCTTCAGGATCTGTCTATATTCTTGAGATGAGATATTGGAACTAGTTCTTTAGTTGGCATGACCATTACGCCTTGCCAATAAATAATGGACAGTTCCATTTTGATCGCGTGGAAACACAAAATACGCTATTTGGTTTCAATGACAAGAATAAAGAAAGATTGACGTGTTTAGCACCTCCTGCTAATACCTTTAAATTACGAATTATTCCGTTTTGATCGCGTGGGAAGAAGAAAGTGAGAAAATGAACGAAAGAAGACAAGAAAGAAGTGCTTAATACCTGTTTCAGTGAAATGGAAGAAGTTGTCAATTTCAAATCTTTTCATTTGTACCCACTTCCTAAAATAAACGACAGCATTCGTATTTATGATTGTTATTGCAATATTTTCTTAAAGTTGTTAAGCTCAAATATTTAACGAGGTGATACGGGAATTTCTACGCATATTTTGTAGTAAAAATCGCCATAGCTAATTCGATTATTAACCCTAGAACACTAATCATGAGTATATAGTACCAAGCGTAAATTTTCCTATTTTTAATTACAATTTTCAGTACCTGATTTTTTTACCTAAATAATGTTTTTCAGTTCCTATTAATGTTAACACAAAGTACAAAGTCTGAAGTGCCTGCATCTAAAATATTTCAAATAAAGATTTATATTTAATATTTTTTTGATATTTTCAAAATCGGGTATGATATACCCATGGTTAGTAGTGGTGTAACTTTAATTGATGGTTAGTGTTCTAAGGTTAACTGAAGAATTAAGATTCCTCAGGAATTTTCACTCGATGAATTTCTACGGGTTAAAACAGGTAGAAATAAATATGATATGGATGACGTTAATAAAGAAAGAATGTATAAATGAAAGTAAGTCATGAAAAAAACTTCAGTAAGTGCAGTTGTAGAGGTCACTAGGGCCTCCCGTATTTATATTAACGCAAAATACCACAAAATATGAAACAATAAGAAGAAGCATTTAAAAGAGAGATGGCATAAGTAAATTGAATTTATATATGCATAACAACAATTGTACAGTCAGTAATTCAGTGAACTTACAGATTTAGTTGAAGTATGTATTTATGATTTGGAAATGTTATTTTAACAGGTGAAATTTGTTCCTGTGAATAATTTTTCTGTGAAAGTGATATAGAATTGGTAATTAATAAATCTATTTAAATTAAACAATTTGTAACATTTTTTATAGTTGAAAGTTCGATGTTTAAATATAGCAGGAGTTATTTATTTTTAACTGTTAGTTTGAATTGCTTAAGGCTTTCAAAGAAAAGTGTTTTTCTGCTGATGAAAATCTCACTGTTAGAAGTCAATAAGTTTCTGTATCCTTGATGTTGAAGGAGCGAATGTTCATAGATGTTCATAGATGTACACGTGTGCGCGTGCGTGTATGTGTGTCATGACGTTTCATAGTGTTTTCCTCTAAGGGACAAACGCGATCTCTCCACAGAGCTACATTGCCGTAGGACTGAGAAGAAAAGAGAAAAGAGAAAGAATCAGGTTGTCGCAAAGTATTTATAAGTAATGTGAATCACGTGATAGGCTCGCGAACCTATAACCAGATTTTGGAGGAAAACTAAGTTTGAACAGGTCAGCTCGAGGTCAACCGTAGGCGGAAACATGATATTGTTATTAACGGACTAATCAAAACGCCAGCTACATCAAACCTAAGCATGGAGCCTACATGTGTTTAGCTTGTACGAGATTTTAGAACTTTGCACGTGAAAATACACAAAATACAGTTTTAATATTTATTATCCAATCACGATATATTTGGTAAATAACAGCATTATGGAAATTAAATAAAAATTAAAAATTAAATAAAGATTAAAAATTAAAAAAAAAAAAAAATTAAAACTTCATTATTTATAATTGGATTTTCAGTATTTTTTTCTTAGAAAAATAATTTGCTGTTTCATTTTTTTTAATTTAACCAGTTTCGCTTAGCTTTCCCAAAAATTAAAAAAATTTTTATATGTACACGAGTTGGTGTTTATGTTTTGAACAAATTAAAAAAAGAAGACATATTAATAAAAAAAACAGGCATTAAACTAGAAACCGATATATATATATATATATATATATATATATATATATATATATATATATATATATCGTCGCAAACAATTCAAATAATATACAAAACCTCCGAACCTGTTATGAATGAAAAAGATCCTTGTTTCTATAAATTTCTGCTGCATTAGTTCTTATTTGTAAATTGATTGCACGTTTATCGAAATTAAAATAACTGATCCAAGTGCGACTTTCGGATAATAAGTGCGACATTACTGTAATTATTGAACAATATAGTTCATGCCAATTTTGACAGAAAATTTACCAGTAAAAAAATTCGCTTATCACCATATTTGTACAAGAACGCACAACTGTAAAAAATTTAAAATCAAACTCAGCGTTGCTATTGCACGCTCCAAAAAACAATAACTCATTTCCAATAGCATTTTTCGGATACAACAATACATATATTTTCGTTGTCCTCTTATTACTGAGAGAATAAACAAGAACAACATCTATTCCATACCTGAAGATGTCTGTAGGAACAGACGAAAGCTTGTAGTAAAAATAAGAACTAATGCAGCAGAAATTTATAGAAACAAGGATCTTTTCATTCATAACAAGTTCGGAGGTTTTTGTATATAATTGTTTGCGACGATGGATTTCTCGCCAATTAAATCATTAACCTTTGCATTTGTTTTTGTGTGAATAATTCATGAATTTGTAAATTGATTGCACGTTTATCGAAATTAATATATATATATATATATATATATATATAATGCCTACTAACTCTCGACAATATATCCTTTTTACATCTCACCCAATGTTCTACCGTATTGCAACATTTGCTTCCCTACTGGCTTGCACATCTACAGGGTGTTGTAGCAAAATCTGTCACTTGACAAAAAAAACCCCAAAAAACACAAAAAAAAAAACAAACAAACGAAATAGGCAATAAAAACAAAATTTGTATATACAGATACCCGACAGTTTGACAAGTAACGTTTTTCTCTCTACCCTTTTCCAGGAGGGAATATGAGCACAGAGCAGTGGTAGTAGCTTCTTTTCGCGCCTGGAAGAAGTCTTAGGACCGACGAGTTCGACGCCACCGTCAAGGAGACAATAAACCATGGGCTGTCACATGTCGCCGATCTGCCGAACGATCCAGAAGGACATTGGTTACTCCTCCTACCGCAAGTCTCACCGCAAGTTCATCACGAATGCCTCGAAGGAGTCGAGGAAGGTCAAGGCGGCGGCTTTGCTGAACGAGCTCAAACACGGGTCCGCCGGGATGCTGAGGTTCTTCTCCGAGGAAAAGAATTTCATCCAGGAGCAGACGAGCAACAAGCAGAACGACAAGTGGATCTGCAAAGACGTCGAGGAGGTTCTCGTCATTTTACGAAGTATGAATCCTCCGTCATGGCCCTTGGCGTCATCTCCAGCGAGTGGGGACGTTATGCCTCCGTTCTTCTTTCGAAAGGGCCTGAGAGTCACCGCTGAGATCTACCAGGAGGTGCTGAGAAGCGTAGTGAAGCCCTGGATGGACGCGATCGCCGCTGGACGCTCCTACGTCTTCCAGCAGGACTCCGCACTTGCACACAAGGCCAAGACGACCCAGGCGTGGCTGCTCAACAATGTTCCTCACCACCGGTCGCCGGATTTGTGGACACCCTCCTCACCCGACTGCAACCCCCTTGACTATTTCTTCTGGGGCGTGATCGAGGCCAAGACCAACAAGCACGCCTACAATACGGTCTACTCTCTGAAAGCTGCCATCGTGGAGGCGTTCGCCGTTATGGGCAAGGACATGGTCGCCAAAGCGTGTGATTCATTTCGCGCCCGCCTTGAAAAATAATGTAGAATGTAACTGTTGGTAAATAAACTGACGGGTCTCTGCATATACAACTTTTGTTTTTATTGCCTATTTGGTTTTCTTTTTGTAAAATGTCGGATTTTGCTGCAACACCCTGCACTTATATTTGTGATGCACCTGATCTTATCTATCTTGCAGGATATGATTTTCACCTGGCTTGCACTCTTCCCTTATGTTTGAGATGCTCTTTATCTTACCTGACTTGCTGCAATTGCTTCTCTCCGGGCTTATACCTACCTTGATGTTTGAAACTATATTAATTGTATCCCTACTAATTGCTTCCCTACTGTCTTGCACATCTTATGTTTGAGCTGCTCTTGGTCATATCTGTCTTGATGCATAAGTTTCCGTTCTGGCTTGCACCTTCCCTGATGTTTGATCCTTTCTTGATCTTATAACGCTTGCGGCATTCGCTACTCTCCTGACTTGCACGCTCCACTGATATTTGAGATGCTCCAGATGTTATTTGTCTTCCAGCATTTTTTTCTATTCTGGCTTGCAATCTTCCCTGATATTTGAGATAGCCTTGGTCATATCTGTCTTGCTGCATAAGTTTCTCATCTGGCTTGTACCTTCCCTAATGTTTGATCCTTTCTTGATTTTATCTTATCAATCATCTCTACCCTGATGTTTGAGAGGCTCCTGATATTATCCATCTTGCAGCATTTACTTCTGCTTTGTTTCAGTTGCTCTTCATCTTCTATAAGAAAACCATCTAGTCTCATAGCTTGTGTCTCCTCTGATATTTCATTTGATCTTCTCTTTCTTTTCCTTAAAGCACTGGAGCTTCCATGGAATTTTGAAAAATAATTATATAATTCCTCAATGTTACAGTTTTTTGGATACATATATATATTAGTGAGCCAGCCAAAATGAGCTGACTCATTTTATAGTTCACCAATAGAAGGGTTAACCAATCAGAAAGTTCAAAATATTCAATGCGACGTGTATAAAGGCGGCCATTTTGTTTTGTCTCCCAAATTATCTTCACTGCCAACCTGATATCAAAGACTTACAGAATTAACAGCCGCTACTTTATCCGAATCTACACTGCCAAACTCTGATATTGAACAGATTATGGACTTCACTGGATTCCATATTCAGAGACTACGGCAAACATGGTCAACACTCAATTCACTCAATGGAATTCAAATCCTCACTTTAACTCTAATTCGGACTATAAGCCTTATTCCGGGCAAATTCCATTTGGGCCTAAACTCTGATTTGGTTCGAAATCCCAATTCAGGCCGAATATTGAGTTCTTCAAATCACAAACTCCGTGGAATTTTAATTATCTTGAATTCTTTAAATCAGAAACTCTGCGGAAATTCAAAACTTCACGTGACGAAATGTTTCACTTTATCTCTGATTCCTTAGCATTTGAAGAATTAAAATTGATTTCCTCAATTTATAATGTATTGAGGATTTTTAAACTGAAATTTTTTGTGACTTAAACTCAATACAAATTAAAAAAAAAATCAAATCACTATTTTTTCAGTTATTTTATATCCTTATTGATAATTTGGTTTTACTACTATTTAATTAAATTATTTTTTTAGCTATTTTTAATCAGAGCTTCATCCAATTTAGGGCAGTGAGTAAACAACATTGTCAAACATCATACAATAATTGCGCTTCTACCTAACTTCCTTAGTTCGCACGACCGCTTAACCTGGCCAATAATAATAATGGACTATTCAGCTTTGATCTTGTGCAAAGAGTAAAAACAGCAGAAAAAAAGAAAGGAAGGAAGATAGATGTGGAGAGGGAGAATACGATTAAGGCGATAAGAACAGATACTACAATTTGATCTTAATGTTTACTGACATAATTACATCAATCTGGGACAAGGCTGGGAAAATAGGGGTCTGGGGAAAGTGATTTTCATGGAAAGTCTAGTACTAAAAAATGATACTACTCTATCATTTATCCCGAGCATACAAACAATGGTCCCCACCCCGCATTTGTCACTTTCATCCGCCGACTGCCACTGTATCCTACATGGGTTTCATTATTTATGTTAAGAATACTTACATACAAAGGTGTGGCTCGGGTATGAACAGCGGAGTGGCAGTGGATAAAGGCGTTGGATAGAACCAGTGACAGGACCCAAAGACTTGTGAGTTCAATATTTGCCTAAGGCAGTCGAGAACTTGGATCGCAAAATTTAGTTAATAAAGGTCGTAGAAACCCATCAGTTTTCGGGTAGGCCGAGCAATTTATGTCAGCCGCCTGAAATAAAGAATTTTTTTAAGAAAAAGAATGGTTTTGAGTCAAAAATTTAAAAATAGAATACCGAAATTTTCCAATTTATCGACAAAATTCAAACTAACTGATAAATGGTATCGGTAAATCTAATAATGAAGGTGACACAACAAAAAAAAAAAATGAAACCTTAAAATCTTCTGTTTGATATTCATAAATTTATCTCATCACTACGGAAGGAAACCAAACACATTGAGAGCATTTTGCTTTCACAGTTGGAAAGAAACTCCAACGAAAGACATCCCAATTGAATGCACCTACTCCATTGTACATGATACTGCTGGAGTATCAAAAGGGACTTAAATAACATTGAACATGACAGACAATCAAGAAAGAAAATCTATTTACCATAGTTCTTATGTTCACGAAGGCTTTATTTCTGCTGTTAGTTTATTAAATGATTTGATGAAAATACTTGTTGGTCTTGTATATACATTAGTATTTTTTAAAAGACTATGGGTCTGATTGTTATTGCAAAAATAGTATTTCTCAGTAAACGGACGAATATTTAAATACGAATTGAGAAGTTTCTATGATTTTATTTTGAGAAATATTGCCTTCGGCCAATATAATATATACAGAAAACAAATGAAATAAATGCTTTTATTTCCAAAAATGAGGCATTTCTGTACAGCAAAAATGGTAGCTAACCAAGAAAAAGTAAGGTCATTTTCAGATTCAGCACCCTCAAATTAGTAAAAAAAAAAAATGTTTGGTGTACCAGCACCATTTCAAAATGTTTTTTGTTGACCAGTGTAATTTGTTTAATGGAAAACGAGGAGCAGTTAGAGCAATTTCATAAAACACAAATAAACTAGGCTTTGCCGATTATTTAGTAATTGTTGTTGATTTCTTTTTAACTGAGTTATTTAAACTCAAGAAAAAAGAAAACAATATGGAGTCGATGTAGACAATGCGCAAGAGTAAGAGCTGAGACCTTTTGGAGAAAATGTTTGTTCGCTTGCCCGCCAAATTCCACGCAAATATTCATCAACTGTTACGAGCTATTCTGGGTCAGTGTTTCGTCCAGTCGGAACAGGAAGTCAGCCAACAAAGTGAGTGGAATGTCAACTAGTGGCAGTTTCCAGGTTGACTTGAGAATTGGTGAATGGAGTAGTGGCAGTTCATTACACTGTACAGTAGCGTAATGGAGACGAAGGTCTGGGTGGAGGGTGATGCTAGAGAAAATGTGCAGGAAAAGAAGAAGGAGTGAAGAAAGGAGGAGAGAAAACTGAAAACCAAATAAAAGAGAAAAAAAGTTAAAAGGTGCCGGGGATTGTGAAATAAAAAGGAAGGTAATTTTGGCAAGAGAAGAAAAAGAAAAAAAAACAACAACAGGCAAACAGTTTGAAAACGGAGAAATATATATATATATATATATATATATATATATATATATATATATATATATATATATATATAGAGAGAGAGAGAGAGAGAGAGAGGAATAATTCCAATATGAATTTTGTCAATTAACTGATTGATGTTACCTTATTGATGTATTCTGTATCTATAGTTTCGTAGAGGAAAGCTCCATCCACTCCTCAGGCGATATCAGCAATTGACTGTTTATTTTCGTGTTTTTCTTTATATATTGCGTTGAAAAAAAAATGCACCTTTGATTGGTGCAAAGTTCTTCTTCTTCTTCTACTATATATATATATATATATATATATATATATATATATATATATATATATATACGGATACGGATAAACCATCTTTGTTCTTCACCTGTAGAGATGCGCTCGCATCGAATCAAAAAGCATCTTTGTCGTGAGTACTTGTTTGTCCCTATTTAACATCTTTATAATAAATGATTATAGCTCTACTCTTGGTATTGGGCCCTCTTTTAAATTAATGCTATGAACGTTCTCGTTACATTTAAGTATATATATATATATATATATATATATATATATATATATATATATATAAAAATAGATAGAT